CTCTTTTCATTTCTGTAATTTGTCTTTTGTGCAGAATTGTCGACCTGTTGATGCCAACATGCTTATTCTCCTTGTGTTTGATTTAATGTTTGTTTTATGTTTTTATGATTTCTGTTTGGTTTGGTTGAAATAGATTTTCTTGATCTCTTGGGCCCCTGTGATTTAAATAATGTCATTGCGTGTCAAATAGCTAGTCGTAAATAAAGAATATTTTCTTTTAAATACACTGCACTGCGTTTCTGTGTATTGTCAATATGTAAAATAAATTTTAAAATGACCAATAGTTTGTTGGAAACACAGAAAAAGCTGTTTAGTTGAAGGAGATTCTCAGCGTAAGTGTTGCCTCCAGTGAAGAAAACAGAGAGACTAACGCCTGTCTGGTGTGTTAACAGGGTTGATGGCACGCCAGAAGCTAGTTTCTTTTTTACTCTTGAATTATGTTCAATAATTGTTAAAATGACTAAAAATTGAATATTAAATTTAAAATAATTGAATAGTATAAACTTTTATAAGTTTACTAAAATAGTAAGGCATTTAAGCCTTAGAACCGATTAATGTATTGGCGGACTGATACAAAGTTGCTGCCCGGTCATTAAGCGAAAACATGTCGAGGTCGGTTCGTAAGAAATTGTTAGTGAATTTTTGTTAGTTAACCGATTGAAGATCATATGGAAGGCAGTTTGTGATCAATTTCGTTAACGAGGTGATTAACGAGGGTCACTGTAGGCATTTCTTACATGCACAGGAGTCAGCGCACACACCGGGGGAGGGGCAGGGGGGATCTCGGCTGTTCTGTGTCTCATGTCCCGTGAAACTATTGCCAAATGCCAATTCAGTATTTTTTCCTTTATTTATATACAGATAGACTCACTTTCTAACGGGTTAGGGACCAAATCCAGGTCATAAGTCCACAGATAAATTTTTTTTTTTTTTAATAATATCTACATACAGTACAGTAAAGTAATGAATTATGAGGAATGGATACAGTACAGTGAAAGTAATAAATAATAAGGAATGGTTACAGTGTGACTGAGCACTTACCTTTTAATGTAGTCAGCTGAATGCAATATGGGGCCCCATAATTTTCTAATTATACATGGAGATCACATTAACTGGAAACGTTTTGGTATAGAAAATGCGGTCATTTGAAGAAAAAAATTTTTTTAATAAAAATCTGTCGGGCGGTTGTAGTGGGGTCTGGTCTGTATTTACTTATTTATTTTCATCTCTATTCCTCACGTTTACTGTTACAGTATGCATGTGTCTGAGTTCAGCCAGGCAGTCGTATGGCTCGCTCAAAAAGTGTGGTTTACATATTTTATAGCATTTGTTGTATTTTTTTTGTCTAAACATCTTTAGTATTGTAAAGGACTTAGGCTAGAACTTCTGAACTCAACCGGTCCTCAACTCCTCCTTTAGCCCAGGAGTAAAGTTGCTAACTAAAAGTGATCATTAAAGGGTCTTAACAACTTTTAAAATACTAAGTGAATGATTGTTATCTGAGGGATACCTGTATTATTGTGTAGTTTTTTTGTAAGCCAAGTTTCCACTGTTCAGTATAACTGGTGACTGCGTTGAACCTGATTCTGTGTTAGATTACTTTTATACGTATGGTCCAGGGGAGCAAAGTTGTGTTTTCATTTTTTTTTTTTTTTTTTTTTTTTTTTTTTTTTTTTTTTTTTTTTTTTTTTTTTTTTTTTTTTTTTTTTTTTTTTTTTTTTTTTTTTTTTTTTTTTTTTTTTTTTATATATATATATATATATATATATATATATATATATATATATATATATATATATATATATATATATATATATATATATATATATATATATATATATATATATATATATATATATATATATATATATATATATATATATATATATATATACACACACACACACACACACACTAGAAGGTTCAAAATCCGGACTGCTTGGGGATTGAGTCGTCCGATTTTCGGATTTTCCTCGGATTCTCAGGCAGTACTTTTTAAAATTCAAATTTTATGAGGAATAAAGAAGAGGTGAACAGGTCCATTTTGATAGTTTATTCATTAGCAAATATAGCATGCTTCATTTATCAAAACGATAGCAGTTTTAATGAAAAAGCTGTAATTTAGAATTTTTTATTTTTGCCTTTTTATATCATAAATTGTAGACTTTCCAATGTCAGATGTTTCCATTAGAACAGTATTGCACACTAATGACTAGTTTTCTTAATTATTTCAAGTTTGTCACTCAATTTCAACGTGTTCTTTCTTCTCACACGAAGTTTATCTACTTTAGTATGCCATTATTATGGGCTTGTACAGTAATCTGTAAATGAAAGAGTAGGACTCAAAAATATTGTTATATTACCAATGGTATTCTATTCATACTGTGCTTGATATATATGCATTCGCGAAATGTAATATTTTGCTAAAAATGACGACGATACAGTGGAAAGTGGATCAAATCGTGACTGGAAAAATAATGACTTCGCTTTTCGCTCAAAAGATGTTACCGTAATCGCCAATGGTTTAGTTAAAAAACTGTTGTACTGTATTACAATAATATTCTATCCTAATTGACTTGAATAAATACTACTATACCATATTTCTGAATATTTTCATTAAATCCATCAAAATCATTTTCTTGTCATCGCCTGCAGCACCAAACTGCTTCTCCCAGTCTCCCTGAACAGTGCTGGTAAGTACGTGTTTTTTAATCGTTTTCAGTTAAAAAACTATTACATCACACGATATTTTACCTAAACTGTGCCTGAATGAATATATATCTCGAAATGAATAGTAGTTTTGCTGAAACGTGATGTATTTCAATGTAAAATAGATAAAATACATGACTAAAGAAAAGACTTTTACCTATTCGGCGTTCTTGAGATGTTACTCGTTTTTTAATAGTTTTCGTTAAAATTTGTTATATTACAATATTCTATTCATACTGTGTTGATATAATACATTCACGGAAATGTAATATTTTTGCTGAAATTACGCATTTATTAAAGTGGAAAGTGGATAAAATCGTGATCGAAACAATGACTTTCGGTTTTTCTGCTCAAAAGATGTCAAGAATTGCCAGAATGGTTTAGTTAAACAACTGTTGTATTACAATATTCTCTCCTAATTGACTTGAATAATATACTCTGAATGGAAATCTACAATATTTTTGTTGAAACTACACACGTTTCAGTGTAAAGTGTCGTAATAATAAATGGTGGTAACAATTTGCCTTCGCACTCTCGTGTTTCGGTTTATAGGACGAGAGATTTTACTGAAGGTTTGTTGTTCCTTTACCTCAAAACGTGGGTTTGAACTATAAACGAGGAATATCATAAATTAACGATTTTTGGTCAAAAATCAGGGTGAATCGATAAACGAGGGGTTATATAGATGAGTACTGTATATACGTGTATGTTGTCACAGTTTGATTGCTCGTTTAAAGTGGCGACCACGTGGTTTGTTGTCGCCAGCAGCTGTGGCGCCACTATGCGTCTAATACACACAAAAGCCTGCTTAAAAAAATTAATAATCATAATAATTAGTTTTCAAAAAGTTCGATGGTGGTCCGGATTTCTGCATCCGGATTTTGGATCCTTTATGTGTGTGTATATATATATATATATATATATATATATATATATATATATATATATATATATATATATATATATATATATATATATATATATATATATATATATATATATATATATATATATATATATATATATATATATATATATATATATATATATATATATATATATATATATATATATATATATATATATATATATATATATATATATATATATATATATATATATATATATATATATATATATATATAGTATATAGTATGATTAAACTGCTATGAAAGATGTTACTAAAGTTGGGAATCTCTTTGTGTTTTCTTTCCTTTTGGTATATTTATGTATATACCTAGATCAATCCACCTACAATGATTTACTTGCTTATATATATATATATGCACACAGTAATACCTCTCGCTTACTCTCGGTCAATTGAACCCATGGAGGCCCGCTGGAAAGTGAACAACAGAACATATGGGATTAATTGAAATAGAGACCGCCGACCCCAAAGTCCACTTTTTCAGACACAATAATTATGTTGTGGTAAAAATAACTTCTTAATTTTATGATGGTATGCACACACAATTAATAATCAAGAGAAATATCAATAATATTAGGTTTTTTAACACTTACATTAGTAGAAAAGATGGCTGGGCACACGGGGATGGGGGGTTGGTTCCGAGGCAGAGGGCAGATTATATTGGCCCTCACCTGTATCACTATCCACCACAGAGGCTTGCAGGCCTCTTTGTCAAACCCCTCTAAGTCCATATCCTCACTATCATTATCACTGACTTGGGCCGGCTGTGGTGGGTGGCGGGTGAAGAACTCGGTAATGTTTTGATGACTGGGTGACCTTGTGCGCACCCTGCTCGCGCCGCTCTCCACGTAAAAGGGTACACACACCGCGGAAAGTGAGCATTCTGTATTCGGCAGGATACGGCGTAAAGGTGGAAACGCGTAAAGCGAGGGTTGACTGTGTGTGTGTGTGTATGATCTAGGTATATGCTGATAACCAAATCTGGCCTTTCACAGAGACTTTTTTATATGAAAAAAGAGTATAAAGGATTGCTAACTTATTCTGAAGGTAATTTCTATGATTAATAGCATATTAAATCGATATAAAAAGGACTAAAAAAATACTTGATTATTAAAACCAACTTAGTATTAAAAAAAAGTTTTTTGCCAACCCTGGATGAAGCTGCAATCTGGGATGGAGACTTGCATTAGTAAATATATTCCTTTTTTCAGGTGATTGATTGCAGGCTTGTAGGACCTCTTTTACAATAATTTATCTTGGTTTTCCAGGACTTTGATCTTGTATGCAGTTTCGAGCCATATTATTATGATAATAGATGTGTATTATATGCCACATAGACATAATGATTAATTGATCCTAACAGGACTCCATGGTGGGGTGGGGTGGAGGGCAGGCAGGTGGTGGAGACCTCTCCAGGTTCTCTCTGGAAGCCTTTCAACTAGAAGATTCACAAAGTGGGTCTCAGGGCTCAACGCAGCAACAGCTGGTGAGTGTTAAACTTCTACTATGTTGTGCCACCCATCAGAAACAACAGGAAACAATAAAATTAATAAAGTAATGAAGATGCTGGTTAAGAGAGTTGCAGCGTATTTGATGGGTATAGTGTTTATAAAATAGTAGGTCACTCTGAAAGAAACTGGTCTTACCTTTAACCCTTAAGCCCCTGGTTAGGGTGCTGCTGGCAGTACCCCCCCTGCTGGGATAAATCGAGAAAAAAATCAACTTTTCTTTAAAAAATATGGCGGGAAAATAGTCGGATATTCTGGAACGTCACCCGGGGCCTAAGGGTTAAATCAGATGAAATAGTCTTTTTGACTTTAGGTGTTTCCTGCAGTTTCAGTTGGAAGATATGCTACAGGGATAAATGCAAAGTTATTTTTTGCTGCTGAAACTTTGGTCATAGTTAATGTCTCCTCAAAACAACGCTTTCAACTTTCAGTAAGGTTATAAACACTTTACTGGTGGTGTTGGTAACAGAATGATCTGTTGCAGTTATTTAGCAAGGTGTTAGAGGAGGAAATTTGACATAGTTGCAGAGTCCACTAATTAGGTGGTCCTTGGAGGGAGTTGGAATTCATGATTCCACACCAGAAAGAACAGTTTTATTATATGCATGTTGATGACACCTAGCTGTGGAGCCCCACCTGTTGTTCAAAGCAAACACCTTCATTGATCTGAAGATGAAATACTTTCGACTTGAAAATGTTGGATGTATCAGGCAAGTTTTAGGATGTTTAGTTAATATGTGTTGTCAGCAGCAAAGAAGACTTGTGTGGTGAAGCTACTCATGGTCTTTACTTAGTGTGCAGTGTCAAAAATAACTTTTAACTCTTAATTTATTTTTAGATAGTTAAAAAATGGTGGTTAATCCCTGTAGCATATCTTGTGCTGTTGTTGTACTATTAGAGATTAGTCTCGCTGCTTATTTATGAAAAGTTGTTGACATGGAACATGTGAAGAGTCTGAGAGGACTTTGTAGTCTTCTTCCTTAAAGGGAAACTTACATACTGTATATATATATATACAGTGGGGTATGCTATAACGAACGGATCCTACTACGAATATTCCTATAACGAACGGTTTTACCTATAAAATTGAGAATGCTTTAACTAACGAAACTCCTACAACGAACATTATTTAAAAAAATTTTTTTTTGTTTTTTTTTACTAATTTATTGTTTTTTTATTACAAGTATTAATGATATTCTTTTATTTCGGGTTTAGATGCGTATTTATGCACTTTTACAATTTTTTAAATTTGATATTATATTTTTCAATGTTAAGTGGTTGTATTTGGGGGCCAGGAACGGATTAATCCTATAACGAAGGAATGCTATAACGAACAAGGTTCTAGAACCAATTAGATTCGTTATAGCATACACCCACTCTATATATATATATATATATATATATATATATATATATATATATATATATATATATATATATATATATATATATATATATATATATATATATATATATATATATATATATATATATATATATATATATATATATATATATATAATATGTGTGCGTGTGTTGAACATATCAAAAGTCAAAGGTACATTACTTGACTGCATATATAGCAGCAATTACATTGTATTATTTTGCTTTATATACAGTATACTCAATATCTTAGTTGTATCAGTACTCGTATAGCAAACCTGACTTAACATACCGTATATACTCGTGTGTAGTTCGAGTTTTTAAGACCAAATTTTTAGGCAAAAAATTGGGGGTCGACCTCTACATGGGTAATAGTTTTGTTCGGTTGAACCCGTGCATGATGGGACGGGCGAGGAGCAACTTTTAGCTTCAGACATGAAAAATATTTACCATTTACTGCCAATAAACAATGGAAACGTAAAATATGTACCAATTAGTAATGAAAAGTTGTGCAGTGCCTGTCAGCAGATGAAGCTCACCAACTTACAATAGGCTAAATTACCTTACAACGTGCTTTCAGTAGTCTATGTTGAAGTTCTTAGCACAGGCTAACTTATCATATCATATACGGTATCACAGTTCTCATTGATCTACAAAAAATACCGGTAATAAAAACCGTTTCGATATTTCACACTTAATATAATACCCGGTAATCTACTTCAACCTCCTATTGTTTACAACGATGCATGACGCACCACCAGCTGTATCAGCTAGACGGTACACGTGTTTTTCGAATCGTTTTCAGTTAAAAAACTGTTACATCACACGTATATTTTATCTTAACTGTGCCTGAATGAATATATTCTCGGAAATAAATAGTAGTTTTGCTGAAACGTGATGTATTTCAATGTAAAATAGGATAAAATACATGACGAAAACAAAAGATTTTACCTAACCTTCCGATGTTCAAGAGATGTTACTCGTTTTATTAATAGTTTTCGGTTAAAGTACTGTTATATTACAATGATATTCTATTCATACTGTGCTCGATATAATTCATTCACGGAAATGTAATATTTTTGCTGAAATGACATACGTATTACAGTGGAAAGTGGGATAAAATCATGACAAAATAATCTACTTTCGCTTTCTTTCGTTGTTCAAAAGATGTTACCGTAATCGCTTTTCGAATGGTTTTCAGTTCAAAAAACTGTTGTATTACAATAATATTCCCTCCTAATTGACTTGAATAAATACTTGAATGGAAATATACAATATTTTTGCTGAAACTACCTGCGTTTCAGTGTAAAGTGTCGTAATAATGGTAAACATTTCCCTTCGGCGCTCGGTGTTTTGGGCACGGCGAGCCTCAGTTATAGGACGTAGAGTGTTTTTAGAAGGTTTTGCTGTTCCATTACCCTCAAAAACTTGGGTCGACCTATAAATGAGGTAGAATTATAGACGAGTATATGTTGTATTCTAACTTAACCTTTAAAAGGTTATGTTTATGTACTGTAGCTGAGGATTTAGCACAGTTAAACTTTTCCGTAAAATTTTCAATAAATACAGAAATGTCTCCGATAGCTGGAATCAAAATTTTCTCGGAAAATCGTTCCCAAAGCTGGAATTTTCAGAAAATTCCGGCTTTTGGAATGATTTTCCGGAAATTTTTGAAAAAAAAAATCAGGGGATGGGGGAGTTTTTTTCTGGGTTTGAGAGATGAAAATCAGGCACATTTTCTGCATATTCTGAGAAAATTTTCCATTACCGGTACTCGGAAAATTTCAGGGATGGGTGTTTTTCCAGGTTCAACAGATGATGTAATGGGCAATTATTTGGAACCTAGAAGAACTTTTTCCATTACCTGGAAAATTCCGGGGATGAGGGATATTTCTCCTGGTTCAAGTGATGATGTAATGAGCAATTTCCTGAACTTCCGAGAACATTTTTCCGTTACCCTGAAAATTCCGGGGATGAGGGATATTTCTCCTGGTTCAAGTGATGATGTAATGAGCAATTTCTGGAAATTCCGAGAAAATTTTTCTGTTCCCCAGAAAATTCCGGGGATGGGGGATTTTTTTCCGGCTTTGAGAGAGTTGTCTCGTTACCCGGAAATCTCCCATTCCCGGAAGTGCTCTGCACCAATAATTCCGGCTAACTGAGATATGACTGTATCTCTTTGGGGTGACTAAGATAGAGAAGAGCTATTATGCTCTAAATGGGAAAGCTTATTTGTTAATTATGACTTTATCAACATGTTTTGCCAATTTTGTACTACTGTGTACATACCTGTACATGTACAGTAAGATCTTGTATTTTGTGAGTAATATAGGCTGGAAAAATTGCGCCAAATTCAAATTCGCCAAATGCAAATACATAAACTAATGGAGAAAAATAACAATATAGACTGGCCACTCTACATCAACCTCTGATTTTCCCATTTATAACCTCCAAATGATGCAAATTCTGCAGATAAAGATAAATCATTATTAAACAATGCATAAACACTTTAAAAATACAGTAGCACTTACCAGTTAGCCCAAACTTGATGAGCTTGGGTGCTGTTGGATATCCAAGGCTGGGGATGGGCAGGCTAGTTGGAGCCACCTCCCCGGCTCTCTTCTCCACCTGGCTCTCCTGGTTCAAATCCTAGGAAGTCCTCGGTGGTAATATCTGGCAAATCCTGTGTTTCTTCCTCCATCTCTTCTCCAACATCGATGTTCTGGAGTGCATCACTAACGTGCTGGCATCGTGTGAGGTACCGTGTGATTAGTGGCTGGCGTTTGTTTATCTATTGCTGGTATCTTGGCATAAATGTGTTGGTGATGGCCTGTACTTTACTCACCAGTGATGCACGCTCATTCTCGGACAACTCTTCAACCAGTTCTTGGAGGTTCAAACAAATGCTGAGTATCAGAGACAATTTGCTGGTTGTGATCTTGCGTTCCGGTTCCTCTCCCGCGTCGCCTTCACCTGCCTCATCAGATGGCTCATCAGCCACATCATCCAGCATTTCTTCATCAATCTCCTTAAGCATCTCGTTGATCTGTTCTGCATCCACCTCACAGAAACCAGGTGCTGGGACACTCTTTGCACTTTCTACTACAGCTTCTAATAAATCCGCCTGACGCTGCACAGCTGACCTTGCGTTAGTCAGGTGTGGGAAGAGGGGTTTCCAAGCATGTTTAATGGTTGTCAATGTGATCTTGTTCCATGTGACTACCAAGTGGTCCACAGCATATTGGATATGACATTGCTTCCAGAATTGCTTGACAGAGCAAATTCTGTTGAGTGGTGTCACTATGGGAGTTGCTAGCAGGGTCTTGCGGCAGGGTGGGGGGGGAGGTGCCGACTGAAACAGGGTCGTCTTCCACATAGCTATCATTGGTGTTGTTGATTTCGTTCACTTCATCTTGAGAGTCTGGCTTTCCTCATTCTGTCGTGAACTGCCTTATAGTAAAGCAACTTCACATTGGCAATTATTTCTTGATCACATGGTTGCAGTATGGAGGTTGCAATGGGGGGCAGGAACACCACCTGAGCATTAGGATGTCTGCCAACCAGATACCGGGCATGGCCAGGAGCATTGTCCATA